GGGCCTTAGAGCCACAGGTTTCGATTTGAGGCAGCATTCATATATTTATTTATTTATTTGCTGTCCTATTTTTGTCTGTAGGCAGTGTTTCGGACTTGCAGTTCGTCTGAACAAACTTTCTGTCTGTTCGGACAAAGGCCAAGTTTTTGGCCTGGTACGGATGCAAGCAGGCCCTTTCGGGCCAGGTCCACTTTCGTCCGGTAGTGGACGCTGCCTGCTGCATCAGCAGGGAGGGCCTGGACATCCTGTAGGAACCCAGGCAGGCCGTTTTGAGGCCAGGACCAGAGGCACACGGAGGCACACCCATGAGGCCCAGCACTACTTATAGCTGGCCCAGGCCAGGGCAGACACACAGTTCGAGTAGCTCACTTCTTGGGCGACACGCTGCTGGAGCAGCGCGACACAGCTCTGCGTTAGAGGTAGAGGTGTAGGTAGAGCGAGGGAGGTGGAGGCCATACCTGCAGCGGCGGTACTTACCTGGGTGCCATAGCTGGGCTCTGCGCCAGCAACCTGCACAGGGACACCACGCGGTCAGTACATGGTGGCAGTTACCTGCAGGTGAGACAGCGAGGAGGACGACGTCTTCTTCTTCGTCGTCGTCTCGCCCTCCATCTCTTCTCCCTCCTTCCTTCTTTTTGTTGTTCTTCTTCTTCTTCTTCTTCTTCTTCTTTCAGAGAGAGAGTTACAGGCAGATTGGGCCGTGGGGCCCAGGATCTGATTCGACATTTTGTGGCAGACATTGATTGGACATCCGGCAGCGAGACTATTTTTGGACTTCGCTATCACAATCAAGGTCTTCTCCCTCGTCTCCATCTTCGTCTCGCCTCTCCCCCCCATCTCCTCATGCGTGGTATCTCCCCATGTGCGTGATCAAGGAGGGACCTTTCGTCTATGTATGCGGTCCCTCCTCTGTTACGATCCTGGCCAATTTCAAAGTACACATTCATCAGAAAGTACAATGCCGTCCAATTGCAAAAAGAAATGAATGAACTTGAGAGGAGAGAGCGGGAAAGAAGAAGAAGAAGAGGAAAGAAAGAAGAAGAAGATGATGTACACCAGCATAGACCAACGATAATGCTCTTCTTCTTCGCCGAGCACTGTCCTCCTCCTTATCTCCTCCCCCTCTTATTCAAACAAGAAATAACAATAATAATGTTGAATGGCTGAACCAGAATCAATGTCTGAATCCCTCTTCTACTTCAGGCACGACATGAGGTCCACCATAGCCATGACCATCCTTCTTCTTCCTCTTCATGTAGGCCAAGGCTATGGCGGACTACTGAGGGCTCTGCCCTCCTGTCCAAAGGACAACCCAAAGCAGCTATGTCGCCGCTCTCCTGTGCAAAGGACAACACAAAGCAGCTATGGCGCTGCTTATTAAGCCGCCATGCCTGACTCTGCCCTGAGCTTCCTTGGTGTGGCACTACCCCAACTGGGGCCTTCCAGATGCAGCGCCTATCAAGGTGATGAAGATGGTGTCCTCCATAGCCAGGTAGGTACCTCGCCACTCTCCTCCTTAGTCCCCTTCTCCCTGCTCCTCCTACCGGTAGAGCTCCACCATAGCCGAGGTGGAAGCTCCCGGTCTTCTTCCTCCCAGCAGTGCTGTAGTACCCAGCAGCGCTCCAGCAGTGTGTCGCCAAACTTGCACACCGAAGAATAAGGCTGGGCTCTTCGCTCAGCCTCAAGGTATAGCGGCCTACTTGCCTCCTGGGCAGTGACTTCCAGGCAACTGGTACCTCATCCCTTTCGGAGGGAAACATCATTGCAGACTCTGATATTGCCCGTACAGGCCCTAGACTCAGACTGGATGCACTGGTACCCGCCTAGACCTAGCCTACCGCTACTGGGCCTCTAAAATGCCAAATTTGTCTTCTTCTGCTCGGCCCCGAGCACCCAGCACATCTACTTCTACTTGGTGCGGCACCGGCCTACCTTCTACTTGAGCGTTTTTCCGCTGCTCTAAGTGTCGCGGGCCTCTTACTTAGCCACTTGAGTGTTTTCCCTGCTGCAACCCTCAATATCACGGCCACAGGTAAGTACCGGCCCTACGGGCCTCCCAAACAAGCAAGAACCCTTGCGGGTCACACACACACACTCATGCCGACAAGCACTCAGAGAGGCACGTAGGTCATCAAGCATGCACACACACACACACAGACTTAGAAAACTCAGCAGAATGCAGGAATCTCAGCAAGGCATCCATTCCAGCAGCATAACTCAGAAATCAGCAGTGTTCTCAGTCTGTGTTATGGAGGGTCATTACACCTCTCTCTCGCACATGTGTGGTGTATGATGGGGTGTCGCGTCGGTATGCTTTGCTGACACTGCATTGTCCATTCGAGTCCTTTTCATCACTTCGCAGATCCTTGGCTCCCCATGTGAGCATGTATCAGTTGGTATCGGAGCCGCGCGCCAGTGAATCAGGAACATATCCAACCTGATGCTCGATTGGGGACGATCGATCAATCGATCGATTGATTGATTGATTGATTGATTGATTGATTGATTGATTAGGTTAACCTAATTTGTTCCCATTCACGATTCACACCTAACTGCCAATTCCGAACTTTTTTTTTCCCTTTTCGGAATTCTTCCTTCGGCACAAATTCGTTTTTTGAAATTTTCGTAAGATCCGAAATTGCGCAGTAGCTGAAATTTCTGATTCTTTTTTTTCCTGAATTTCGAAATTTCGCTGCTTGATAAATCCGATTTTTTTTTCGAGTTTCGGAGTTCTTTCTTTGCGTTAATTGAACTTAATTCTTTTTCTTTTTTTTTTTCTGAATCACGCGTTAATTAGTAGCTGAAAATTTTGAGTTTCTTTTATTTTTCGGAAACTCGAATTTTCCGTTGCTCTAGTATTCCGAAAGTTTATTTTTATAGGAAAATCTCTCTTTGCAGCTGAGTTTTGGGATCCTATTTTCCAAAATCGAAATTTGCTGCGCATACTCTCATCTGGGGCAAGGTCCCACTAGCAACAGGATAGGATAGAAACGAGTTTGTGGGGCAGTTGAGTGACCCAAATCCTGCTGTGCAGTACTCGTGATCCCACGGTCAGTATTTTACAAGTATTACCCGAAAAAGTAAGGAGATCTTTGTTCACCTCCTCCTCTCCTTAACACTGGGCATGCCCGTGCAAAGAAAGCTTCCTGCCAGAATCTGGGTGGGGTCGGCCATAGGCCGACTGGATAGAATATTTTCAGTATTTTACTTGCTGTTGTGCAATTATCTCATTGGGTGGAGCCCTCCTTCAATCATGGAGTATATGGAGGGTGTCAGGATCACTGCTGACAGAAGGCGAGTTTATTCCAGAAAATGTGGCGGTTACTTTGTTCACTGTTGTTGCAACCACCACCATCAGATCGTTTGTAATCTGATGGCTGGGAAGCACTCTGCTGTGATTTCCRGTGGGAGGGCTCTGTTTCTTTTTTTTTCTTTTGCCTTTCTCCTGTTTTCTCAGCCCAGAAATTCGTAATGAACCTGTCAGCCCACTGCCACTCAGTGTCACACTGGATCGGCCACACTCCTATCCGACTGCTAATGGGACCTCACCCCTGGATAATTCCGAAGTTTATTTTTTCGGAATTACCTGAACTTGCGAATATTTTCTTTTGCAGTTCTTGATTAATTATTATTTATTTTAATCTGCAGTCTGAAGTTCGGAATATTTTTCATTATATTGTTTCAACTTCGGAACTTTGGGGATTGGGAGACCTACCGAACTTGCGATTTCGAGTTTTTTAATTTCTTTTCAAAATTATTTTTTTATTGTTATTAAAGCAAAGTTCGAACTTTTCAAATTTGGTTAGTGGCTCCTTATCTGGGCGATCAATGTGACCCCGCGGGGGCGGGGAAGTGCTAGTTTACCACTCCCTCCCCTCCCACCTACCCCCATCTATGCTGTGTCTCCTCCTTCCTCCATCTGTTCTCTCTACTGCTGCGGCACTGGTGGGTTGCCACGTCAGCACGGTGCCATGTCAGCAGGCTGCATCAGCAGGCCATTTCAGCAGGCCACGTCAGCAGGCCGCGTCAGCAGGCCACGTCAGCAGGCCACGTCAGCAGGCCACGTTAGCAGGCCACGTTAGCAGGCCACGTCAGCAGTGACACATCAGTGACACGTCAGCAGCCACGACAGCAGGCCCATGCCACATCAGCACCAGCTAATGCCTGCTGTCCTTCGATCAGCGACCACCACGATGGACCGCAAGGACAATGAGTCCGACGAAGACTACGAGGCCAGGCTGGCCGACTTGATGCTGGAGATTAAGCGCAGAGCAGACGCGGCACTTGCCGCTCGAGAGAAGAGAGGAAAGGAAGCAGAGGAGACGAGTGTGCGGGTGCAGGTGATGGTGATGGTGGTCTTCGGGTAGGAGGCACATGCAGAGGGGAGTCAAGGTGGGATGAGGGGAGGAGAGAGAACGTAACAGGTGTATGCTGGCGGTCGGCATTGGTGATGACGTCACATACATTTGATTCGACTTCGATGTGATCCAGTTGCACAAACGTAGATAGGTGTAGATAGGCTGAGTAGTGTAGGCTGGGTGGTGGAGAGGGTCAACATTGGCATACAAATTCATTGTATTGCTCTTGTTTGGATGGTATCTTGGTGCATTGTGCTCTCTGCTTGGTACATGACTATCTGGACTACTTCGTGATTTTGCAACTTGCATTTCTGACTATCGCTCTTGCTCATATTTCTTGTATTCGCATCCATCGACTCTTTATTGCTACTTATCTTGTAAGTTATTGGTCCACTTGTTTCTAACTTTCTTTCTGTCTCTGCTTTTTTTAGGAGTCTGTCATTTTTCGACAAATTTTAAATTTTGCTATGTGCATTTTCAATTTCTAATCCCCACCCCCACCTCCTTGAGGCTTTTAGAGCTGGATGAACGGCCTAAAGTCTCCGTGTCTTCATTCAAAGACTAAGAGAAAACCATCAGCCAAGCGACTAAGATCCCATTTGATTTGGTTTCTTCATTATGCTTTTAACTTTGATTCTGCAGGACATGTGCGAGTTCTTTGTTGATCACTTGCTCAGTGACAGCTTGGGCGTGATCTGTAATGCCCATCTTGTTCATGCTGACAAGAACCCAGAAGGCGCAATGCATGAAGACTGTTTGGAGCTTGCAAAGCAGGCAGCTATCGAAGTTGACTTTCCAAAGACAGGCAAGCCGGCCATCTTCCCGAGCCGTCTAAGGCCTAAGGAGTATCCAGATTTTATGGAGAAAGAAGAGACGAAAGTAACTTACATTTCAAAGAAGATTCTAGGCGTGCTGTACAGGTACGTGTCTGCCAAGAGTGGCAAGGGGCAGGGGGGGGAGGGAGGAAGGGATGTATGAGGCAATTGTTTTTTCTTTTTTTAAGCTATACTCTCCTCTCAATATACCTCCCACTAGCTATGTGACGAGGCTGCCAAAGACCCAACGAACGACTGTGAAGGACGGGACGGGGTCGGTCACTGGTCAGAAAAGGAAAAGGGGAGTAATGCAGGGAGCGGGGTAATCCTATCGAGGTTCTACAGGGATGAGGGGAATCAATGCTCAAGTAACAGGGTAATCCTATTGAGGTTCTACAGGAGTGAGGGAATCAATGCTGAAGTAACAGGGTAATCCTAGTGAGATTCTACAGGGATGAGGGAATCAGTGCTCAAGTAACAGGGTAATCCTATTGAGGTTCTACAAGTAACAGGGCAGTCCTATTGGTGTTCTACAAGGTTATAGGTTGTCAGGTTTGAGAAAGATAAAAATAAAAATTGTTTGTTCCATGCTAAAGTGCTGGGGTGTCTGAGGGTCTGGGAAAACAACGTCTCAGGTCTGTAACAAAGTGTTACAAGTGAAAAAAAAAAAAAAAAAGTCTCGAGGAAGGTCTTGGCGGGGGTCGCAGAAGTGGCTGTGAGGAAACAGTCTTCAGCAGTTCTGTGATGTAGATGGCAAGGACTTCAGCTTGATTGTCGCAGTAGCAGGTTGTGTCCGGTACACGATCTGATGATGAGGTCTGATCCGGATAGAAGGTCGCAGACGGAAGTCTGCGAGTCCAAGGTGCTGACCAAAGGGAACAGCATGGTGGCCAACCAGCTGTCTTATCTCCTCGTACTGAGCTGCAGCATGCCATCGTCCTCGTGCGCTTGCCATTAGATCCATTATCGCTGGCGACGCGCAGGGGCCACATAGAGAATTCGGACAAGAGAGACAAGGATGTGGCGGAGGCCAGATGGGAGAACAGGGCAAGGCGGAGGCAAAAGCGGATCAGACAGGGGGGGTTCAAGAGGCAAGGGCTTCGTTGGGTACAGGGGTGTGTGTAGAGGAGGAATGCGAGGTTTTGGCGGGGTCAAGCGGGGTTTATGCAAGGGTTTAGGGTTCAAGTTATATTATGTATCTAGGATATAGGGTGGGCACGATCATAGGCGCGAACAAGTTTCATAACATTCTTAAGGTTAGGAAGAGGTTCCCATGTGGATTCTTCGTCAGGGTATCCAGTCCTTTTAACTTCGTATTCTGTGATTGGTTTCGGATGGTATGATACTTGAGTAGTTCTTAGTCCTATGATGGCTTCGGCGATGAATTAGGGTCTGTGGGTAACATGATTGGTTGAGGTCTAGGATATGGCCGGTCAACGAATCGGGGTGGGGATTCATGGTATTCTTTTAGGCATTCTACGTTGAAGACAGGGTGGACATGACTCATGTCATGAGGGAGTTGGAGCTTGTAATTGACGTGGGAGGTTTGTTCAATGATGGGGAAGGGTCCGAGCCACATGTTCGAGAGTTTTTTGGACAAGTCGTGTTCGGGTTCAAAGCGTTTGGCAGAGAGCCAGACTTTATCCCCTACTTTGAATGTTACGTCCCGTCTGTGTTTGTTGGTCTTGTTGGCTTGTTGTTCTTGTGTTTGTTCAAGGGCTTCGGTAGCTTCTCGTAGGAGTCTGTTCATTGTTGCTACCCATTCATTTAGAGAAGGGCAGGGGGTGGAGGGGTTGAGTTGCGAGGGGAGCAGGAAGTCGGAGGGAAGCACGGATGATAGCCAAGGTCGAGGTAGAATGGAGTCATGCCAGTAGAAGGACATGCAACATTGTTGTAGGCGATCTCGGCGGCGGTGAGCAACTGATCCCGATCATGTTGATGTGGATGACAATACTTCCTCATGATTCTTTGGAGAGTATCGTTCATCTTCTCGGTTTGTCCATCGGTATGTGGGTGGAATGTAGTGCTATACTTGAGCGTGGTTCCATAGGCCTTAAAAAGGTGTCTCCAAAATTGTGAAAGGAATCGAGGATCACGGTCGCTGATGATGTTCTCGGGGAGACCGTGATGGCGTGCGACATGATCGAGGAAGAGAATGGCGACGTCCTTGGTGCTGTGCGATGTGGTGCAAGGGATGAAGTGGGCACGTTTAGTCAGGCGATAAATAATGACATAGATGCAATCATGTCCGCGGTCGGTCTTGGGGAGACCACAGATGAAGTCCATGGAGATGGACTGCCACTGGTGGATGGGGATCGACAATGATTGTACCTTGTCGGACTTGGCGCGGTTGGAGGGGTTGACAACTTGACATGTGGGGCATGAGCGAATGTAGGCTTTGACGTTGGCAAGTAGGGAAGGTCAGTAGAAGTAACGAGAGATGGTGTCGAAGGTTTTCCGGAACCCGAGGTGTCCCGCAGTCTTGGCGTTGTGAAGCTCGGCCAAGAGCTGCATACGAAGGCCACGTGCGTCAGGTATGCAAAGTCAGCGAGTGCCTTTTGGTGTCAATGTAAAGAAGTTGGTCGTGAAGGGAGTAGTCGGGGACTGAGTGGAGGTCACAAAGTTTATTGTAGATGGTTGAGAAATCCGGGCAAGAGAGGTAGCCTTGGGTATAGCGGTGGTGGAGAGATGGGAGGAGTTGGATATGAGTCATGGCAGCGTAGACTTTCTCAAAGGGCTTGTGGTCGGGGCGTCGAGAGAGGGCATCGGCAACGCGGCGGTTGCTTTTGCCGGGGGTGTGGCAAATGGTGAATGTGAATTGGGCAGAAAGTCTAACCAACGGGCTTGGCGAGGCGTAATGTCTTTCTTGGTGAGGATAGAGGAGACAATGTTGTTGTCTGTGCAGATGGTGAAGTATTGCCCGTCGAGGTACGGGCGCTAGAGTTTGAGGGCGTGGATCACGACATGGAGTTCCTTCTCTTTGGAGAGGTAGTTCATCTTTGCAGGAGCTTCTTGCTAGCGAAGGCGATGGGGTACTCGCCGGGTGGAGCCTCGGGGTGGGTGGGGGAGTCTTTGATGGAGGGGGTTTCAGAGGTGTTGCGAGGGAAGTGTTGGGATAGGACGGCTCCAAGGTTGAATTTGGATGCGTCAGTGGTAATGTAGAAATGTCGAGCGGGGTCAGCGATCTTGAGGACGGGGGCTGTGGTGATGGTTTGTTTGAGGAAGTCGAAGGCGTTTTGGCGGCGGTCGTTCCAAGTGAAGGGTTTGTCTGTGTGGGTGAGTTCGTGGAGGGGTTACGAGATGTCGGAGAAGTTGCGGATAAAGGGGCGGTAGTAGTTGGCAAGGCCGAGAAATGAGCGAAGTTGGAGTAGTTGTCTTGGGTGGTGGATACTCGATGAGGGTGGTGACCTTCGAGGGGCCCATGCGTATTCCTTCAGCGGAGACGATGTGGCCAAGGTATTCAACGCTTGAAGCAACAAAGGTGCATTTGCTGAGCTTGGTGTAGAATTTTTGTTCTATGAGGATAGAGAGGATTTGGCGGAGATGCTGAAGGTGGGACTCGAAGGTGGGGCTATAGACAAGGATATCATCGAGGTAAACGACGACACAAACTTCGAGGAGGTCGCGGAAGATGTGGTTCATGGTGGATTGGAATGTGGCGGGGGTGTTGGTGAGTCCAAAGGGCATCACGAGGAACTCGTAGTGCCCAAACCAAGAACGTAATACGGTCTTGTGGGTTTCCTCCTCGCGGATGCGGATATGGTGGAAGCCAGTGCGGAGGTCAATTTTGGTAAAATATTTGGCTCCACGGAGGCGATCAAGAAGCTCGGAGATCCGAGGTAGAGGGTACTTGTTCTTGATCGTGATCCGATTCAAGGCGCGGTAGTCTGTGCACATCCGGAGTTCCGATGTTCCGCCTTTCTTGACGAAAAAACAGCTTGTGCCGAAGGGGTATGAACTTGGCTTAGTGAATCCTTTTTCAAGGAGTTCATTGAGCTGCCGCTTCATTTCTTCGGCTTCCGGAACAGAGAGTTGGTACGGAGGGCGGCAAGGTGGAGAGTGACCGGACTCCAAATCGATGGTGTGGGACACACCACGATCCGGAGGTAGTCCGACGGGTAAGGACTCGGGGAAGACGTCCTTAAACTCGTCGAGGATGGAGGTGAGGGCGGGGTAGGAGGGGGGGGCTTGGTCGGGTTTGTCCGTTGGCAGCAAGTCGTTTGGGTGCTCGCGATCAAGGACAAGGCAATAGTAGGTGGAGTCAGGGTACGTACGAGCCATGTGAAGGAATTGGTGCGCGGTGACGGAGGTTGGGGAGGGGGAATAGGGGAGATAGGGAATGTCGATGGTTGTGTCAGGGGGGTTGGTAAGGCGGATGAAGTTGGGGTCGAAGGAGTATGGCATGTAGCGGTCCAGCCACGGTGTTCCCAAAACGATGTCGCACATTAAGTGCATGACATCGAATGAGACCTGACTGCAGAGGGTTCCGACAATTATGGTGGTCTCGGGAACCGTGCGGTCTACTACGACGACGGTGTGTTTGTCCCCTAAATGAATCATATTCAGGGAGTCGTAACCTGTAGAGGTAAGACCGGCTTTCCAGACACACGCGTCGGTGATGAAGTTACCAATGGCTCCAATGTCGAGGAGGGCCCGAAACTTAGTCGTAGACGCACCAAGGGTGGCCGCGATGAATTTGAGGTGAAAGCGCGAAGATAATGGTGTTGAGACATCGTTGTTCATTGCCTAATCGGACAAGCCGATCGAGTCGGGCTTGCTCCTCAACAACATCAGAGAAGGTGACAGAGGATGGATTTGGAAGGAGGGTTGCGGAACATGTGGCGGTGAGAGGGGCGTAAGGCGACGAGGGTTGAGACGTCTGGGGGTCGTCCGGTGGGATATGCGGCACCGGAGAGGGGGGAGGCAGACGTATTGTCGATGCCAAATGGGCCACCGACGGGGTGGAGCTTGTCACCGATGGGATGGCTGGCAGACTAGTCGTTGATGCCGAGACGGGTTCATGGTGATCCTGGGGACGGTGTTCATGTGGAGGAGGGACCGGGAGTGGTGGATGTGGAAGCGGCGAGTCAGGGGGCCACGGAACT